CCCACTAGGCAACCCACAAGTTATCCACCAAAAGATACCAATCTAACTAGACTGTTTTCTTCACAATGTATTCCACACCAAAGAATTTATTGGCTATTTTTTTTTTATCCTTACTTAGCTTGCTTAGAAACTCTGCCTATTGTTTCTTGCATCTGCAAAACAAAATTTACCCTGGTTAAAATATGACAGAAACCAAATTTACTTAATTCACTTGGTTCAAGAGATTTAAAAAAAAGTAGGAGCAACATAACAGGATCAGTGATCTAGTGATGTCTCTGTTAATATAGAGAACTGAAAACACATCTGCTCCATGGTCTCGACCTCTATTGCTCTGACTCAATTCAGTCTCCCATCACCCTTGACCTCACCTACAGCAAAAACCTCTATTTTTGGCCCGTTCACATACAGCCAGGGTAGTGCAGTCAGCCCTCCATACCCATGGGTTTTCACATCCATGGATTCAACCAACCACTGATTGAAAATATTCGGTTAATAAAAAAATGGATAGTTGCATCTGTACTGAACATGTCTAGACTTTTTTCTTGTCATTATTCCCTAAATAATACAGTATAGGCCTGGCACGGTGGCTCACGCCTGTAATCCTAGCACTCTGGGAGGCCGAGGCAGGCAGATTGCTCGAGGTCAGGAGTTCAAAACCAGCCTGAGCAAGAACAAGACCCCGTCTCTACTATAAATAGAAAGAAATTAATTGGCCAACTAATATGTATAGAAAAAATTAGCTGGGCATGGTGGCACATGCTTGTAGTCCCAGCTACCTGGGTAGAAGGCAGAAGGATTGCTCGAGCCCAGGAGTTTGAGGTTGCTGTGAGCTAGGCTGATGCCAGGGCACTCACTCTAGCCTGGGCAACAAAGAGAGACTCTGTCTCAAAAAAAAATAATAATAATACAGTATAACAATGATTTATATAGCATTACATTGTATTATGTATTATAAAGAATCTAGACATGATTTAAAGTAAATGGGAGGATATGCATAGGTTAGACACAAATACTAAACCATTTTACATAAGAGACTTTAGCATCCATGGATTTTGTCCACCCTGGTAGAGCAGTTGGCAGGGGAGTTCTGGAGCCAATGACCCAGGGATGCTGAGGGACAACTATGTGCCTAACATACAAATCTGATAAGCTGGTACCTGGAACATATTAGTAATTGAAAAAATACTAGTTATGCCCATAACTCAACAGCAAAAAGAAAAATAAACAACCCAAATTTTAAAAAGGCAAAGGACTTAAATAGACATTTCTCCAGAGAAAATATACAAATGGCTAAGAAGCACATGAAAAGATGTTCAAAGACACTAGGCATTATTAGGAAAATGCATATCAAAACCACAATGAAATGCTACTACACACCACTAGGATAACTAGAATCAAAAAGTGCTGATGAAGATGTCGGAGAACTGGAATCTTCATACTCTACTGATGGGAATATAAAATGCTGCAGCCTCTGTGGGAACCAGTTTGGCTGTTGCTCAAAAAGCTACACACAGAACTGTGAATTACCACATGACCCAGCAGTTCCACTCCTAGGTAGATACCCCCAAAAATTGAAAAGTAGGGACCCAAATACATAGGTGTACACCATTATTCACAGTAGCCAAAAGGTAGAGCCAATGCAAATGTCTACTAACGGAGGGAGGAACAAAATGTGCTACCTACGTACAATAGAACATCATTCACCTTAAAAAGGAATCCAATTTTGGCACATGCTACAGCATGGTGAGACCTGAAGACACTATGCTAAGTTAAAGCAACCAGACACAAAATGATGAACATTGGATAATTCCCCTTATATTAGTATGGTAGGCAAATTCATAGTGACAGGAAGTAGAATAGAGGTTACCAAAGACTGGGGAATGGAGAAATGGGGAGTTATTGGTTAATCGGTACAGAGTTCATTTTGGGAATGATGAAAAATTCTGGAAATGGATAGTGAAGTTGATTGCACCATTATAAATGGACTTCATGACACTGAATTATACACTCAAGATGATTAAAATGGTAATTTTATGCTATAAATATTTTACACAATTAAAAAGTACAAAAAATTAAACCTTGGAAATTTAAAAAATAAAAAAGAAAGTACTGGTTATGAATGTATGAATGAATGTCTCCTTTCTTCTTAAACCCCTCAGTGGCTCCCCACTTCCTCCTGAACAAACCCGTCACTCTAGCCAAGTCTTCCATGGGCTGGGCCCGCTCTGTCCTCCTATGTCCTTCCTTCTTGAGTCCTCCGCTCCAGCTAGGCCAAACAGCTAGTGATGTTCCCATCCTGCGTCGCTTCTAGATGCCTCTCTGCTTTACTACAAGGTTCCTGCCTCTGGAAGGCTATTCTCAGCCCCCACCAATCAGCTGGAAGACACCTTCTCATACCCTCATCCTAGCCTCCCCTAGAGAACTTGGACCAACACCATTTCACCCCTCACCCTGCCAGGGAAAGACTGCTCTCTCTCTCCCTTCCTCGCGTTCCCCTGTGCAGACCATTATCATGGCCAATTCAACCTTTAATCACTCATTTATTTATAGGTCTGTCTTCCCATGCTGTACTAAGGCAGAGAGGGCAAAGCCTTTGTCTTCTTTTACGTGGCATGGTTTTAACATCTCTGGCTCTAGTTGTGTGACCTTGGACATGATATTCAACCTTTTTTAGGTCTAAGTTTTGTCTTTCAAACAATGGGAATAAGAATAGTCTCCCTGTCATAGTTATGAGGAATAAATGAAATAATGCCTACGAAGTGCTTTAGCACAGGGTCTGACACACAATGAACAGTAAAATGTTTGAAGAAAGGAAGTACATAACAATTGCATAGTAACATAGCATTGCATAATCACATAGTTGCATAGTAACTAACAATTGTTCAGTGGCTAAAGGCTTGAACATTTAAGGTGGAGAGATTTTGCAAGAAGAATAAATAACCTAATCCAGACGTTTACTTACAAACAAAGACCTATGGAGAATGACTGGAAGAAACTCCTCTTGGCCTGTGTACCACAAGGCAGTCAGAAATGCTTCTAGGGACTTCTGAAGTTTCAAGTGTCCACCATAAATTCTTCCACTCCCTCTAGAACCAGCCTGATCCTGCTACAGAGGTCCTTGTAACTCAAATAGTGTAGTCCTCTCAGAAAATAAAAACAAAGGCAAAATCCCAATGGAACAGATAAGAAAGGTGTATTGCAATAGGCTTCAACACCAAACTGGTGGAGGATCTTCCTGTTTTAAAGAATATAGGGTGGTTCTCCTGCAGACTTTGCAGAAATTCTGGAGTAAGTTTTCCACACGGATGCATTTCTTTCTTTTTTTTTTTTTTATTTCGGCATATTATGGGGGTACAGATTTTAAGGTTTCAATAAATGCCCTTCCCCCCCTCCCCCCACAAGTCTGAGTCTCCAGCATGACCATCCCGCAGATGGTGCGCATATCACTCGTTATGTATGTATACACCCGCCCCCCCACCCCCCTCCCCAATACCCTATTACTGTAGTACCTATGTGTCCACTTAGGTGCTACTCAGTTAATACCAGTTTGCTGGAGAATATATCTGGTGCTTGTTTTTCCATTCTTGGGATACTTCACTTAGTAATATGGGTTCCAGCTCTAACCAGGAAAATATAAGATGTGCTATATCACCATTGTTTCTTAGAGCTGAATAGTACTCCATGGTATACATATACCACATTTTATTAATCCATTCTTGGATTGATGGGCACTTGGGCTGCTTCCACAGCCTTGCGATTATGAATTGTGCTGCTATAAACATTCATTTCTATCAAAATTTTGGCAAACTACCTTGGCTTTTGGAGGTTTAATCAGTAACCCTTTCTCCAAACTACCCTGGCTTTGGGTGTGAATTCTTATTTTTTTTTTCAGCATATTATGGGGGTACAAAGCAAATTCTTATTTTATGTGAGCAGATAATGGTTATTTCAAGATATGCAGCTGGCTTGAGCTGTGGAGACAAAACATTACTAAACACACACACACATCATTTCTTAGAAGGCCAAACTCACTGCAGTGAACATGGCCAGTGTCCCCCGGTAACAGTGCCTGGTGTCCATGCAGCCCCATTAAAACTAACTCCACACTCAGCCCCAAGGGTGGAGCTTGTGACCCAGGTCTGAGTCATCAGCAAGTCTCACATCCCCGTCCACTGACGTTCATGGATCATACATGACCTAGTAAGAACCAATAAGACACAATGACATTTTTCATTGTATCTTTTGAAAAAGAAACTCTGATCTAAAACATAAGATAATGAGTGGGTTCACAGAGATCCTTTTGGTATCCATAAAACTAAAGTCCATGTAATGGAAGGCAGAACAAAGAAATAAAGAAAAAAATGCCCAGGTGCTACTGATCCACTGGCATCCTGAATGGATTTATGCCTAAAGCTAGCCTTCCTCTTTTCAGCTTCTCTGAATCAATAAATTCCTATTTTGACTAAGCCAGTTTGGGTTGGGTTTTTCTGTAACTGCATCAAAATAATCCCAACTGGCATGTATCAAAGCCACTCTTCCCAAACAGGAGCTCCACACTCTGATTCCATAAAAAAAGATAACTGGTTTCTCTAGAGAACTCCTACGCGAATGAATCAGGGCATATTTAAGAGGCTTAGTGTCGGGGTAGGGAACTCTCTCCTTTGGGGACGCCTGTGGTTCTCATTTCTGTGTGGGCCAGGAAACTCCTATAAATTTCACCTGTTGACACATTTTCTTTGTAAGCATTTGTGCTACTTCAGGGGGAGAGGGGGGGAGGAGCCGGAAACAGAGGTGGAGAAGGGAAGGCGTGAGGCAAAATATGAATGATTGTGCAGGAAGCAATAGAGCCGATGGCCTTTTAGCAAAGGGCTGGCGTGTGGGTACATGTGGTGTGAATTCATGGTAGAGGAACTAATCAGGCAATGTTATCTGATCTGGGACAGCAAGAAAAAAGAGTCTCTTTCCTTTTCCCCTGGTTTGGTATGTCTGAGAGCTCTTACCAAGGTGTCAAGCTGGCATTGGAATCATCCAGGTGGAAACTTTGACTTCAGATTGCGCTAACGTGGGGATCTGGGCTGTGGGCTGCTTTCCAGTGATCAGCTGTCATTTCATTTTCAGAATGAAGCTGGGTTTTTGTTCTGTAAAATCCCAGGCAGGTTCTGGATTGCAAACAAAGGTCAAACATGCTGACGCTTGAATATAAAGAAGCAGGGAGTTGCACAAGTTCTTCTGAGTAATAGAGGCTGGTCATCAAGCCTGGGGCTGAGGAGGCTGTAGGGACAGAACCAGAGTCTGTGAGGATATTTCTTCCATGAAAAGAAAAAGCCGCAAGCAATATTCTGAATAGTCTGAGTCCGAAGCTGCTCTCATGAAAGGCAGCAGAGCTTATGGGAATGGGGTTCAAACTTGGGAACAGGCTTAGTTTCCAAGCTTGCTCCCACTCCTAACTGGCTCTGTGTCCTCGAGCAAGTTAGTTAACCTCTCTGAATCAGTTTCCTCATCTGTAAACCTCAACTAGCTTCTTGAGAGAACTAAGTCACTTGAATTATAGTAAGTCTAGTACAGTCCATGGCTCATAATAAAAGTAACTGTTCCTAATTTGGGGGAACTAATACTGAATCCAGGTCTGTAGTATCTGGACATTGGGACCTTGTTCTCATTTGGCAGGATGAAGGGTCAAAGTTCAGTTTCTCTTCATGGAATGTTCTGCAGAATAGCAAGAGAAAAATACCATTTTGAAGCTAAATGTCTGCATTTCTCCAGGTTCCCCTAAGCTCAACAAATTCTAGTCCCTAAACTGCTGAATGACTAGCTCTATAACTTTAGACTGGCTAGCTATGAGCTTAAATCCAAAGATTTTCATTGGACCATCATTTCCCCAAGAGTGATGATTGATATTATTCCTATCGTAGGCTGATTATATAGCACAGTACCTTACTAGGGGCTCAGGAAATTTCTCTTTAGAAAAATGAATTCATCCTCAGGCACATCTAAACTTCTGTAGGAAAGTACTCAAAGTAGGAAGGCTGGAGGAAGAAGAAATATCTTTCTTGGTGTGTCAGTTAGGGTGAGGACCAAGCTGCTAAGGGCTGACAAAGAGACTCCAAAATTCAGTGATATAAAAAAGATAGGTGCTTACTTCTTATCATGCTACTGTCCAAAAGTGAGTGATTCTAGTGCCCAACCCCAGGGTGTTGTCCTCACCAGCATGATCAAAGTTGGATCATCAGCTTGAGGATATCAAAGACAGCCTGGAGAAATACACACACTCGTTTAAGAACTGAACTCAGAAGTAGCACACTTCACGTCTGCACTTCTACTCGCAGTCCATGAGGAAGAACTCAGTCCACGGCCCTGCCAGCAGCAGAGGAGGCTGCAGAATGAACACATGGCACTGTTAAGGGGGGTAAGGACAAGCCATATATCTGATAAAGATGTTAAATCTAGAATATGTAAAGAATTGTCAACCCTCAATAATAAGAAAACCAAACACTCAAAAACAATGCACAAAAGATTTGAACTTACACCAAGAAAGACAGATAGCAAATAAACACGTGAAAAGATACTCAACGTCAGTAATCAATAGTGATTAGGGGAATGCAAGACAGCACAACACATCTGTTAGAATGGCTAAAGTTACAAAGATTGACCATACCAATTGTTGGCAAAGCTATGGAGGAACTAGAACTCTCATATGTTGCTAGTGTACGAATCAAAAATGATACAACCAAATGGAAAATAGTTTGTCAGTGTCTCAAAAATTAAATATATAACTATTACATAATCCAAGCTTTCTATCCCCAGATATTTAGGCAGCAAAAAAGAAGGCATATATCCACACAAAGACTTATACATGGATGTTCATTGCAGCTTTACTTGTAATATTCAAAATCCAGAAACCACTATATATCTATCAAAAGGTGAATGGATAAACAAACTCTATACTATCCTCATGATAAAATACTGTTCATCCATAAAAAGGAATGAACTCTTGAAACACACAAAGGACATGGATGAATCCCAAAATAATTACACTGAGTGAAAGAAGCCAGGCCAAAAAAAATAGTATATACTATATAATTTCATTTAAATCAAATTCTAGAAAATGCCAACTAATATGTTGTAGCAGAAAGCAGACCAAAGGTTGGCCAGGAAAGAGGGCACAAGGCAGCGAGGGGCAGAGGCAAGGGAGTTCAGAAAGTGCACAAGAAAACTTTTTAGAGTAATGAATATGTGTGTGCAAAATATATATGTCAAAATTAGAAAATTACACACTTTTAAACTGTCCAGTTTAACTGTGTGTCAATTCTACCTCAATTTAAAAAGTGCATGCCCTCTATTTTTATAGATAATAGAATATAATTTGATGGTCAATCAGAAGTATCCTCCTCATGTGGTTTCTCTTTGAGATTTTGCTATCAAGTTCTGAGAGATTGTGGACCAGAATCTCTGGGAGGAAGATTCTTGTTGGAAAATAAGATGTAAGAGAGTGATCTTGCAGCTCTAGCCCCAGCTTCTGGCTCCTCTACTTCTCAAATGCCAGCCAAGCTTCTATCTCTAGTCTTGATTTCTTGCAGTGAACACATCGCATCCTGCACAATCCCATTAAAACCTCCACTCACTACGAATTCAGGTCGCCGACTGCCAGTGCACACTGGCAGACACCAGCACACACCAGCCTCGGCCCTGCCTGCCAGACCACACCTCCCACTCAAGCTCTGCCAGCAACCGCTGCAATTCAGCCTGCAGAACAAGTTTCTAGCTAGGTCGATGCTGACCTGGCCCTCTGGGTCATAGCCACTGACATTTTCAGCAGAGTGAGAAAAGTTACTGTGTCTGTGTCCCATTGAAACTTGCTTAACACCTCCCCAGATTTTTGATTAGCATCAATAGGACCTTTTCTCCCAATACTCCTTCAAAAGACGTTTTCAAGTCTAAGCCCTTTCACAGCTGTCGTGTCGTTCCCAGTAGCGCAGCACGTTGGTTGGGGGTGCTTTGGAAGCTTTCTAGGTGAAAGGCTGAAATATATAAAGGCATCATAAAAGAATTCTAGAGGGCTTGGCAGGATTATTCTAAGAATTTTATCCATCCACTTCAAGCAATTTCTTCTGTTGATCTTTAGGATTACTACTGAAACAGCCAAGGCTTTTGCTGATTTATCCCAGAATGTCACCCTTCTCGGTGCACAGTTGTGCAGTATCACAAATGCAGAGTTTTTTTTTTTTCCCCCTCTGACTAGCTCAAAGTAGGATACCAGAACTAAGTACTAAATAAGCCTATATAAGAATGAGAAGATTTAAGGATTATAATTGATTCTCATAAACTTCGTTCAGGAGAACTGGGGGAAGTGATTTTCATCTTCCTCCAACATGTACTTAGGCATGGCCTGAGAAGCAGAATGTACCAACCCACCTTTCACTTATAGGCGAAATTTTTCTTGGAGGGTGTATGTGTGTGTGTGTGTGTGTGTGTGTGTGTAAGTATCTGGCGTTAGCTGGGCTTGAGCCATAGTAATTGTGCTAACTGGACTAGGTAGCTGTTGATAAATCAGGGAAATGTTGAGAAGAGCGGTTAGCCGAGTTGGATCACATGGGAACAATGAGACCTGGGCTATCCTGTTGACTGAAGGCTTTATTTACCTCTTGGGTTCTTGGAGCAGAACTGGCAAAAACAAACTGCAGAAAAGCCTTTTCTGCAGCCAGAATTCTTAGCAGGCAGCCATGTGCACGTAATTGCGCCTTTGTCTGGCTCCGACTCCCTCCTCGCCCTCAGACCCTGTGGTTTCTGCCTGAATGGAAAGAACTATTGCTGCAGTCGGAAGAATCTCCGTGCCGTCCGTCCGTGGGCGGGGGAGGAGAGGCGGCCCCCCTCGCAGAGGCGTCCCCATTCCCAGGAAGGCCCTGCCTTACCTCTCCCTGGGCTGGGAAGGCTGGAAGGAAGCCAGGAGGGATGGTTCGTCCACCTGCCACACCTGCGCTAGGTGATTTCTCCTTCAATATCTAACTCAATCTTCTCAGTGTCCCAGGAGATGGGAATTGTTAGCCCCATTTGCACAGAATAAAGAAATGGAGGAGAATAATTTACGGAATAGTTTAACCGCAGGAAAGTTAAATGAAGTGCCGAAACGTCACAGCTACAATGTGTTGGACTTGAGATTTGTTTCCACACCCGCCTGAGGACAGGAGTCGACTCACCATTGTGATAATGTCATAAATGTTAAGCGTGAGGCATTTGTAATAGATAATATCCGAGAGAGAGAGAGAGAGAGAGAGAGAGAGAGAGAGAGAGAGAGAGCGCGGTCCTGTTCCTGTCTGCCTCAAACCACTAGAATATTTTGGTGAATAGCCTGTCATTTTCAGATGATTTATAGGAAAACAGGATCAAATTAGCTTCTTTTGTTATAGACTCTTTCCTCTTTTAGTTTTTGAAATGTTTTTGGAGACCAAGATTTTAAGAAGTTTAATCCCCATCCTAGAAATCAATGAGATACAAATTGAGAAGCTAAACTGACTAGCAAATAAAGGAAATTAATAACAGAATATTCTCAGTTTCTTGGGACCTGCCCCTAGTGAGTATTCCTGAATATTTTGGGAATAAGAACCTAGCCACTGCTGAGTCAAAAGCTCTTAACTATGGCCACAGGAGGCAGAAACCATGGCCTGTTTATGCAAACACTGGGCACACGCTGTACTTCCCGGCCTCCCTCATGGGGAGGAGTGGCCATGGCCCAACGTCAGTCCTGCCCCCATCAGTGGAAAATGAGCAGAATTGATGCACACCAATCCCAAGTCTGGACCCCAAAACCACGTGCAGTCTTGCCTGCACACTTCTCTTCCCAGCTGGCTGGAGTGAGCTCTTCTCGGATCCACGCTGGAAGCCACAGGATACACTTGGTGAAGCCACAGGTGTCTGGAGCCCACGAGCCTTGGAGTGTCCCATGAGAAAGATAGATACTTTCAGTATGTACAACTGCTAGGATGTGGGGGGTTTCTGTCACCGCTGGTCATGCTCCCCGGACAATATTCCAGAGCATTGGTTCTGCTCACGTCACAGAGATCGAGACGTGTGCCTGAGAACACAAGAGCCAGAGGATGGAAGCCACTCTCTCAGGAAGGAACACCTGTCTACTTCCGAGACGCCACCGTATTTCTGTCTTGCTGTTCGTATCCTATCTACAGGAAGGATGAAAAGAGGTGGGAAAACATTTTCTTTATGTGATTTAGAAAGCAGAATTCAACGGTGGCACCAAGAATATACCTCACTGAAGGGTA